ACTGTTGAGTACTTTATACTTAAATTTAAAAACGAGAAAACATTTTTTCTGTACAAATTTCTCACCCGTGGCGGTGGAATCGCCCAGGATTATAAAATCTAAGAAGGAGCTTAAGGAATAAGCTGGCTGACGATTCCTAAGTACCCCAGAAGACTAACATTTGGCATAAAGAAGAAAATATAACATTAAGTATAGGTATGAAGATAAATTACTCTCTACTACTAACTGTGCCTTAGACGGTCCCAAGCCCGGTTTGAGAAAACAGGAGGGAAGACAGGGGGCTTTGGTATTTCCGGGGTACGGGCTTGACAACCCCGTCTACCCCAGTTAAAGGCTACCAGTCCTGAGTCGGTGGAGGCTCAGCTGATAGAAGTCTACGGCTTTCGAGAGTCATACCAAAGACTTTAAAAATGGTGCCACGGGGAACAGATGCCCCCGGAGTTTGTTCGTCGGCGAGACGAGTAAAACTGGCGACACAAGCAAGGCTTGCAAGGCTGGCAAGGCAAGCACTGGCATGGCTTACACGACTAGAAAATGGTGAAAATAAGTTGAAATTGAAGGAAATGTGTGGTGGAAACCGCTGGAAATGTTGAAAAAGTTGTGCGCAAGTTGAGCAATTCGATCCGTTGCGAAAGCTGAGCGAGTGGTGTCACCTCTCCTGGAGAATGTGGAGGGTGCCCACGAGCGAGGCGAGTAGGACGTGTGAGATGAGCAAGACGGAGCAAGATGGTGAATGTGCGTCGAGCAACTCGATCGGTCGAAAGTTGAGCGAGTGGTGTCACCTCTCCTGGAGAATGTGGAGGGTGCCCACGAGCGAGGCGATTAGACTTGTGAGACGAGCAAGACGGAGTATGAATGTGGAGTGTAGTAGTCGTGTAAGTCGTTCTAGTGTGAGCTGAGTCAGTTAAGTGGGTCAGGGTGAGTTGAGCCAGTCGAGCAAATCTCGCCGGCGAGCATTACTCCGGTCTGTTCATGGGTACGGGCCCTTTGGGGAGTATCGTGGTGGCTGTGGTTTCATACCTAAATGCGGGTAGAACTCGCAAGGGTTCAATGTGGAGTTGCATTGCAACCGGATGTCGTGATCCAGAGAACGTCAGAGGTTTAGGTAGGCCTCGGCCCTACCAAGGTGTAAGTGTGTCCACCACATACTGCCAATTGGTACTGAAGTGCTTGCAGTTCAGGGCAGTGATTAATGCAAAAATTAATCCGTTGTGCCTAATGCGGGCACCGTGATTAAAGCCTTTGGCAGGTAATCACGTAAAGCCTACATGGAATCTCCTGACTCCTATGCGACATTCATTACGTTTTAGAGAATTATTCAGCAAGTTTTTTAGGATTGAAACACTGAAATAGAGAGAATGTTGTCTGGTGGCGTCGTGAGGCAAATGCCTATGTCAAGGCATCAAAGTGCCCACACACAAAACCTTGCAACCATATTGCTCGCAATTATCTGTCAAACTAACGGTTGGTACGAAATCGTTGTTTGCGAGTGGAGTTCTGCGGTAAGGGATCACTTCCCGAGGCACAAACCGCTGGGCGCGTTCTTGAAGAAAAAACTGCAGGCCCCTTTTCGTGCTTCGGTCTCACCTCCGCAAGTACGGTATATATACTCGTAGTATATGCAGTACAATTCCACAACAAGCTTTTCAGGTTTTAGACGCTTTTAAGGGTTTTAGTGCTCTATTCAGCTAAATCTTTTTATTACGGCTTGAGCGCCAAAAGCCACAACGCCTGAAAAGCTCGTTGTGGAATTGTACTCTTAGACTATTCTACGAGTATATATACCGTACCTGCGGAAGTGAGATCGAAGCACGAAAAGGGGCCTGCAGTTTCTTCTTGAAGAACGCGCCCAGCGGTTTGTGCCTCGGGAATAGGGATGCAAAAAACATCGATGCATCGGAAACATCGATGTTTGCTATTCGATACATCGAATAAAAGCGATGTTTTGGACCTTCCGATATACATCGATATATCGATGTATTTCTTTTCGATGCATCGACATTTGTGTGCAATGTACACTGTACCAAGGCGAATTTATACAAGGTGGTGTTAACAGCTCAAAAACAAAAATTACAATAACAAATTATACGCACATTGACAATCAGTAAAAAACAAAATTGCAGCAAACACATCATTTAAACAAAAGGTACAAAGTCGTCGTGAAATCATCGACCATTGATATGATATTTACTCTCTAAAACCATTTGTAAATTTGGACAGATTTTAAACAGCATATTCCAAAATTGTTTCACATAGCTTATCAACATAGAGAAATAATATAAAGTGTGTAAGCCAGTTTGATGTACGCTTATTCCAAAGCAAAATTTGAGTTTCCGGCATTAATCCTTGGTTTTGTTGCATACCTTTGCCTGATTTCGGCTTATGGCATCCTTACACTCAGAAAAAACAACATCATTTAAATGAGGAAATCATTTCCTAAAAATTGTTTCCCTCGTTTGAGGAAATTTTATGTGTAGTGAGTAAAAACTTACTAATTTTTTATACAACTTTCCCTCAATTTGATGTAAGCTTCTTCTTTCTTTTTGAAATATTAGACATAATGATGCCACCCAGACAAGACAAGAAATATTTCGATTTAAAATTTTGTCGCTTTATATCGGAACTTAACGGTGGAATAGCACTTTATGTACAACTGAAATAAGTTTTAAAGGGTTGGAATTGCTCATTGGTACAATATATGTATATTTTATTTATAGCATTTTTCCACAAATATTTATTTACAAAGATGTATTGTACAACAAACACGCTACAATACTTGTTAAGGCAATAACAACAATTTACAATACTCGTTAAAGCAATTAAAACACTTTACAAAACTTGCTAATGCAATTGATCTCTGTTGTACAACTGAACTTGTAGCTTGCTGATTCGCAACTGAACTTCTGGTGCGCTGGAGCAGCGGCCTTATATACCTGCGCTCGCACTCATGGCAACTCTACAACGTTCTGGAATCTATCGCACATTCTCCCGCTCGCACTTTCTTTTGATGTTTCTTGCTATTCTACGTCTTTCGTCGAACATTCTGCCATTTTCTTGTTGTTCGCTACGCGTTGCCGCAATATTCGCCACAATACTTTGCTCATCAAAGTATATGCTAATGATTTCCGAAAAAAAACGAGCGCACTGCAGTCAACATTTTTTTCGAGATCATTAGGTTAGGTTAGGCTAGGTTATCCTGGCTGCCCTCGTCCCGTACAGGAAAAGGGTACACTTCGAAATCATTAAAACTTCAGTAAAAAGCCATTACAAAACTTTTTTCTACAACTATTTAAGCAAAATATTTCTTGCTTTGGCCAAACAGCATTTGTAAATGAATACTTTAAGAAAGGGCGAAAACTGAAAAAATTTAAATTATTTATCTATAGCTCTCAGAGGGTTCGTTTTTTTACAAGTTTCCATAAAAAGCATGATACAAAAGTGTACATTAAAATACTTAAAAAATGTTCTATTACGCTATTTCTAAAAGAAAACACCAAACAAAATTCTTTACTTTTACCAGTTTGGCATCTGTTAAATTTCAATGATTATGCACGAAAAGGACAAACGTAGCAAGCTTGCATGTACACACGTATTTTTTGATATGCACCAGAGCAAGGCGACTCATACACACAGCTAAAATCAGCTGATCGAAACAATATTTGTGATGAATAAATCATGTCTTGGAAGTAATGACTTCATATTAAAAGTACCCGGTATTGAAGCAAAACTTTTAATAATATACTACAATTTCCATAAATCCACTCCATGTTTAATTAATAGTTATACTTAGGCCCAATTTTAGATGGCCTACTTAAGTAAAGATTGTTGATTAAATTTCACTATTCTTTTCGAGGTTATACATTTAATCTGCACTTAAATTAACAATATTGTCTATTTATATATTTTAATAATATACTACAATTTCCATAAAATCCACTCCATGTTTAATTAATAGTTATACTTAGGCCCAATTTCAGATGGCCTACTTAAGTAGAGATTGTTGATTAACTTTCACTATTCATTTTGAGGTTATACATTTAGTCTGCACTTAAATGACCAATATTGTATATTTAAATATGAGGTATGCAACCCTGTGTTTGTACCCACGCCCACCTACGCCAAGATTGATTGGTAAGTTGTTAAATCAATCCCACCAAAAAACAATCAGCTGTTCAGCACAAAATGTAAACAAACAAGCGAATGCAACAACAATTTTAAGGAAAAAGCCGCAGTGCTGGCAATTGTTTAGCATATTTAAATAAAGTTGATCTGAAACCCAATGAAAGCTAAATGGAATTTAAACAGCAATCCACAAACAAACTTAAATGCCGTTTAAATATTCATTTGAAATTGGCCCTTAAGAATGAGGCTTAATTTATGCATAAATTATATTTAAATCATGAGTCGTATCAAGGCGGCTTTATACAAGGTGGAATTTTGTTCTATTTTTTAGTTATTTCAATTAAAATTATTATATAATATTATTATATGATATTTGACATCTTCTCGGTTTCCTTCAACCAAAAGCAAAAATAATGAAATTAAAGACAACAACGAAATTTCAACTGGAAATAAATGTAAGGCGAAGAAATCAGCTGATCTAACAATACAGTATCAGCCAAAATTACGTATTTGTTGTAATTATTACTGGAAATGTGTGTAAAATAGGTTAGTATAATTTCTGTTTTTGTACTCCTGCTATCACCTTATATGTGTGAATTCGCCTTGGGATAAATAGAATTCTTATATTAAACAACCTCAATAAAATATTAAAGTAATAACTTATAAATAAATCACAGCATCGAATAAAACTCGATTCGAATCTAATGAAATAATGAAATGACAGCCCTTTTCTCTTGAATATATATCGCGGTGTCAATTCAATCTTATATGGTTACTTTTTTGCACAAGTACTTTTGACATAATAAGTGCATCACTAGAGCTTACAAAAGAACTCATGAAAAAGAACTCGTTTATTATCTGCAAATTCGTAGCTGAAATATCGCGTGAGCAAATTTAAATTCGTCGTACATTGTGTAATTTGTTGTATTTTTCACAAAGTTAACTAGAGGATTTAGTACTGCTGGTGTTGTTTAAGATAAAGTAGGTATTAGTAGTGAAGTGATTTATGAATGTACATATATAAACTGTGTAAATATTGCACAGGCCTGTGGCGCTTTCAGTGAGTTGAGGTTAGGTTGTGTGTGCCACCAAAAATTAAGAAAGCCGGAATGTTTTAACGTCATGGCGAGGCATTTCAGTTAAATACCTTAGAATATGTGTTATTCTGATTACTCCAAAAATTGCAACTCTTTGTTGTACAAAAGACCTAACTCCACAAAGTCACTGAAAGGGCCAATATGAAAAACATTTGGAAAGTGTAATGTGCAGTGGTTTTTATTACTTACAAGTTTAATGAAGGGTGGAATAAGTAATTTATATAAAGTCTGCTAAATGTTGTATTGGTTTGTTGCGCTTTGTAAAGCAGCAATCACACGATTTGTAAATATGTACATATATGTACATTTTGAAAGTTAGAGTGGTTGTTTGGAAATTATGTGTGAAATTTTCAATAAGACTTTCTGACCTTTTTTGTAGATGCGTACGCAATGGCGGAGGACAATAGCTTTTTTGATTTGCTGAAGAAACTCCAAGGCGAAATTTTCTATGAACTACTTAAAGGTATATCAAAAACGAGTTAAAATTTTGGTGCGTATTTTGAATTCAAATTCTAATCTGGACTCGCATTTATTAAATCAAAGATTGTGGATTTACAACGGAAAGCCGTTTGCATTTGGATCCTTGTTTGGCCCGCGAGTCATATTCGAGCATAATCTATTAAAATGGTGAATGGAAGAAGTAATAAAGAGCTTATATCTGTGGTATTTCTACAATAATTTCAGTACTATAATTTTTTTCAAGGAAACGAGAAGTAATGAAGAGCAGCCAGTCATGTCAACTCCATCAGGATCCACACTGTCAATAAATTCAAGTTTCGAGAATCGCGTTAATAATTTTGACGAGGTAAACTGAAAAGAAAAACAGCGAAATTTTTCATCTTTTTAAACATGTAGAATTTTTCAAATCTTCCAATTCTAGAAATCTATTCAAGATATTCTAAGTGAAACAGCTAGTGGAAAACAAATTTTAAAGTACTATGCAGATAATAAAATATTAATACCAAAATATCGTAAATTACTCGCTGCTACTGTTGCCAATTATTTGATTGGTGCTAATATTAATGCTCATCCAAGTACTTTTGATTTATTATCGCTTAAAATTGCAAATTTTTTTTACAAAAGAAGCACAGGTAAAGCAACCTCTTGATTCGATTTCAACACTTCAAATCTCATAACGATCCACAACTTTGCCTCAGGAAATTTACTATCTTCCTAAAAAAGGAAAGAAACCAGGTGGATCACTATATTCGAAATATCACAGCACTTTGTCTAAATTGAGGCAGGATGGGGTTGTTTTAAAGAAGCGAGCAATAGAGAAACTGCCTGAAACGAAGGAAGTAAATAGTTTTTCTCCTGGTTAGTTATAATAACAATTAAGTAAACTGCCTATTTTTTGACATTTAGTAATATTGGTATTTAGTAAACACCCCATTTTGTTTTTCTAACGAGAATGAATAATTCAGGTGGCAACGAGATAAGCGATAAAGCTTGGCTTAAATATAACATTGAACCCTACAGCGAAGTAATAGAGAAATGGGAGACCACGTTTGCAGTCAGACATAGCTTTCTGAGTAACGCTGAGGACTTGAGTTCGATTCTGGAAGAGTGGCCTCTTTATAAACAAAGCTTTGTAACTAGTAATTTTTTAAAAAATTTTTTTTACATATATCTTCTGAAATGTTTTTTTTAGATTGAACTCGACTTTCAAAGGCTCTTCCCAGAACGACGTAATTTACTATTTGAGAAGTGGATTAATTTTTGTCAAGCAATACCATCTTTGTTTGATACACACATCAAGGATACAAAGAGTTTATTTACTTGGAAGCGACTTAAGCAGGGAGTATTCACAGGCGGTTATTATTTTATTTTTTGTAATGTAAATCAATATCCAAATAAGTTAACAAAATTTACTTTTGCAGATGTAAGGGATTGCGTGATACTCTATCTCCTACATTCCGTCTTAGTGCCAACTGCCAGACAATACAAAACTAGCCCACAAAGTCAAAAGAAGTATTTGGTAAAACCTACTATTGCCGATTCCAGAAACAATTTCCTACTGTATGCATGTACACACAGTCAGTTACAAGCAAAAATAAAATTAATGGTTGATTCGAAATTCAAGGACAAATATACTGTACAACCTGTCATATGTGCAGTCGGAAAAGACGTTTTTGAACTCAAAGAGTATTTTATTTATTTTGCAGATATATATTATAAGTTCGATAATTTTGTCAAATGTGTTGATGCTTGTTTCAAAGTATTTCATGTCTTAAATTTAAAGTATCCTTTAGAGTGTAATTTAGTCTGGTTATTAATACAAAAATATTTTTATAATATCGATTTGAAGTCAAGTGAAAAAAGTGCATCCCTTTGCGGAATTTTAAATGACTTACAGAATACTTTATCGGGAAATATATCTTAAAAAATTTGAGCCTAAAAAGATTATATTCTTAAAATAGATAAGATGAATTTAAAATGTTTTGTTTGTTCACAGATTTTCACACAATGTGAAATTCTTTTTAATCATATAAAAAATGTCCATGCTTTATCAACAAATGAATTGTTTATATGTGGATTTTGTAACTGTAATCAAACTTTCACATCTTTCAAAGCATTTTGTAAACACATGCGAAGGGAAAGTTATTTAATTTATTTAATTTAAATTATTCAAATGAAATCTTAAATACTAACACAACTATTGTTCCTGCTCAACAAATTTGTGAAAATATAAGTAGCGGTTACAGAAACACTTCTTATTTGTCAGCAGATAGTATGAAAGAAGGTTGTTTGAAGTTTTCTTTAAATAATTATTCCAAAAAGAAAATTCCGAGAAAAGAAACAATTGAATTGCAAAAACAAGTCACAAACTTCATTATTTATCCAATAAGGAACGAAATAACAAATATTTTGAATAATTTTGACGCTCAAAATCCGTCAGATGTAAAAAACTGTCTAAAAAAATTGGTTTCATTTTGTAGCGATCCATTTAAAGAAATAAATTCTGAATACAAACTTATCAAAACTCTAGAAGAAATGGATCTATACGAGACTCCTAAAATTATTCAAATTGACAATTCAATTCGCTGTTTGCAAATTAAACATGTTAGTAAGCTTGATGCTACTGTAGTAAAAGGTGTACTATTCCCTATCAAATTTAAAATAAGGAAATTCTTTGAAATACCAGGTGTGTATGAAAGTTTTTTTGTTTTTTTTTTGGGTTCGCACTGTTCATCTCTTTTGGCAATTTATTACTCATTTCCTACAGCTCCAGTTACTATTAAGTTTAAACTATTTACTGTATTCATTGCAGCTCTATTCAAATCGAAAGATGTTAAAACTTTCGGTAATGCTAAAGCGTTTTTTAAATTGATAGAAGTCCTCAACGACTTAGAAGAGAATGGTATAGATATAAAAAATTCAAGTGGAATTAAACGAATCTTTCTTTGCTTGGGCTTAATAATCGGAAATAACTTAGCATTAAATAATATTCTCGGCTTTTCTGGATCTTTTTCCTCAAACTATTTTTGCAGATTTTGTAAAGTTAATAAAACAGAAGCTAAATCAGCGTTTATGGAAGGGTTTGAGAAATTGCGAAATAAAGTAAATTATGATGAAGACATTTCACGGAATGATTTTGGGAACACAGGAATTAAAGAAGATTACATTTTTAATAAAATACATAGTTTCCATGTTACAGAAAATTATTCTGTTGATATATTACATGATATCTTCGAGGGCGTATTGAAATATAGTTTTTGTAACATCATCCTGCAATATATCAATAAGAAAACTTTTGATTTGGAACTTTTAAATCTTCGGAAATAAAATTTTAACTATGGCGAAGTTGAAAATGGGAATAAATCATCTCCTCTGCAGTTGCATCACATTAAATCATTTCATTTAAAATTATCTGGACGAGAAATGTTAACTTTTGCTCATTTTTTTCCTCTGATTATTGCAGACGTAGTAGAAGGAGATGATGTTTTGTGGAAATTTGTTTTAAATCTTATAGAGCTATTAGACTTGTTGCTGTTATCTGAATACACGAGCTTAGATATAATAAATTTAAAATCTCATATATCCGCTCATAAAAGCGAATATGTGAAGCTTTTTCACGATACTCTAAAACCGAAACATCATCTTCTTATCCATTACTGTAGAGTTCTTGAACATTCTGGTCCCTTAAAATTGCTGTGGACGCTACCTTTTGAATCTAAGCATAGACAATTGAAAGAATATGCTAAAAACATTACATCAAGAAAAAACTTAACGTTGTCTTTAGCACTAAAGTTTTCAATAATATTTTCCGAAACTATTACCAATTTTCAAAACACCGATTGTTTACTTGGCAAAACAAAAAGCTTCTTACAATCTTCTTTGTATTGGATACAATTAAAAACTATTTTTAGTGAGGATCAACTGCGCGGGTGTATATGTTATTTGAGTTTAAAACGCCATAATACATTTGGTAAAAGCAATTTTATTATTTTTTTTATGATCCTAATTTTTCCGCTTTTCAAATACTTGAGATTTTCGTAATGAATGAGAAAATTTTCTTATTTTGCGAAAAAAATGAATATACTAACGTATAATCCACATTTTTTGTCATACGAAGTCGGCTCCAGAACCTCTGATTTTAAACTCTTCAACATAAATGAATTACAATATCCACCAATTCATCTCTATACAGTTCAAAATCAATCATTTTTGAGACCAAAACACTTCTTTTAATGCACATATTTATTTGTAAAGCCCCTTTATATAATTATTACTTATTTCTTTTGTACTTTCCG